AAGAAGACAATCGGGGGAAGGTGGAGCTGGAGACTACCACCGGGGAAGGGAAGCACCCAGTGGGGCCCTCTCAGGAAGGGCCACTGTTATTCACAACTGTCTACCAGGGAGGGTGGGGCTGGAGACCGCCACCAGGGAGGGGACAACCAATACACCAACTTACCTGCGAGAGCACACCACCTACAACATCCTGGACTAGACTCAAAGTCACCGCGCCGACGTAATTAAAACAAGGTTCAATCTCATTGTTCTCTGGATACTACAGTTGCATGATTATTGCTGAGGTCTACCCCCTCACCAGCGTTATTCCCTAGCCGGGCTAGACTTGCTAATGAGCAAAGATAGGTGTGTACGAGATAGCGGACGGAAGAAAGGAGAGAAAAGAGATTAAAGGTACACAAGTCTCACCACACTGCTCCCCCCTGGACAGTGGTGATTATTAATCTGCTTTACAGACCAATAAACATACTTATTCTAGGTAGACCAGGGCCCATAACGGAGACTGGGGCGCTGTGATGTTGTATCTTTGGTCTTTCATCCGGACGCTGCCAACTATGCACAAACAAGTAATCGTGTTGATGTTTTGTGCATCAGTGCTTGCAAACAGCAAACCGCTTGGAGTAACTGTTGATCATTTGGTTTCTCCCCCCTCCCCCCGCCGACTACATCAGACGTGTGCATTCACCGATAAAATGTATCAACATAACCAAGGTCCAGCGAGGAAACAGGCGATTCCTGATTTAAATTTGATTTGCGTACTCCCTAAATTTGATGTACTGACAGCTCAACATTCTGATTTCTCTCTGTAAGGCATATACAATTACGAGGAATACCTCCTGGTTCGGGATTTGGACGAGGCAGAGAAGGACCGGACTATGACACTGCGGAAATCACACCAGACCGGTATGAGCGGGACTCTGCGTGATGCGGAAAAGATGGGCAAACTACGCAAAGAGCTTCACACCGATGACGATGGTAAGTGCATGTTGACTGTAGTTGGAAAAAATTTGCTCCATGCCCAATTTTCACAAATTGTTTAAATCACTGGTGCTGTCAGCCTCTGGTGTTTCTGAGCCACTAGGCATCAGACGTGTTCAGGAACCAGTAGCGTAAGCTCTGATATGTTAATATGCAACCGTTAATTGCTCTGAATGTGCAGTATCATAATGACTTCATTCTATAAATACTGCAAATCCCTGTGTATGAAGTACCCGTTTCTGCTATTGTCTCTGGTGATGAAATCGCGGAGGATTTCAAAACGTCAGGCGAATAACATTATTGTCCCAGCCACCATGTCTACTTAACGATTACTTCCTGGGACTCGCATATTCGCTTTTATTGGCAATATACAGCCACTTATCTTTTTCCATCAGCGCATCATTGATTGAGGTTGCTGCTATATCCAGTTGTTGCTATACCTCCCAGTGTGTTCGTAACCCTTTCACTACTCCGTTGGTCTTATCCCTACTTCTCTTTCATCCTATCACGTCCCAGTCCTAATTATGTTTTTATAGAGAAAGTATGGAGAGCTCTATGTTTGCCATTCTCATACCGTTTGTTCTACCACCTATAATTGGGTCTGTTTGCCTTAATCGTGCCTTGCAGTTTCGCGGATGTTTGTAACTGCATTTGCTTTTCTAAGGCCACATTGTCATCCAAACGTAGCCCACCTGCATAAATTTAGGGGAAAAGACAGTACCAACAAAGACCAGGGAGATTGGATTGGCCATTTCCAGCTTATTAGACGTCGTTAGCCAGCCGTATCCAACCCTAGGCATTGATTTGCCTGAGACTCAAACTCGCCACCTGTTGGCTAGAGGTACAACGTTCTATCCACTGAGACATGGTCTCGTTTTCCTATCGGTTGGGAATTTTAACAACGGCGGATGGACGCTTACTGATAGGTTAGGGGACTCACTCGCAGGATGAAACATTACCAACAATCTTAAGGCAAACTGGAATAGCCGGTTCGGGCCTATTAGCCGTCACTAAATAACAACCAACAGTCTCTAGTTCGATCCTCAAGTGTTCAAAAACCCTGGGGTTGGGTATGGATGGCTGGCGACGGCCAATAAGCCAAGAATGGCCATTTCAGCCTCTGTTGTCTTCTTCAATAATGTCTCATTCGGCCTATATCAGTAGCCGTTATGCGGCTCACGGTGGGTCTGGAGAGTGAGCCCCAAGACCCAACGGAACGAGTAGGTCCAGTAACACGAGGAAGATGAGGCGATCGAAAATGCGATTAGTTTGGGTACTGTCTCCAGCTTATTACGCCTTCACTCAGTCAAACATAACTAACTGACTACCAATTGGGACCGGAAGTACAAGCATTCGCTCGTACAGAGCGCAGATGGTCCACAGATGGGTCCTGCAAATAGGTCATAAACGGCTGTATACATACATGCATACATACGCAGGGGAGGAGGAGTGTCGAAACAGGCAGAGGAAGACTGGGACGGCCATTGATGGCCTACTAGCCGTCGTAAGCCAGCTATGCTGAACCCCAAAGGTCGATAAAAAATGTTCAACAGACAGAATTGTTTTTTGGAATTTGTGTTACCTTCATGCAGTCCATCACAGTCCTAACCAATATCTGGGCCCAGAAGTACAAACATGCCCACGCGTGCAGCACAGATGGTCCACACACGAGGTCTGTCAGATGGGAGCGGCATTCGCCGATGCCTCCTAACTGCAGAACGGAAGTGAATACTGCCCTTTCGCTCTGGATATTTGAGTCTAGATCCTTTGTGTAAATATAGAGAGTGGGGGGACCAATGAAAACCAGGTAGACGGGACTGGTCATTACTCGTGTACTTGTCGTCACTGACCAGCCAAACCCCAGCCCTGGACCGCCAGAAGCGGAGGTTTAACACCGAGCTACTTGGTAATGAGTCGGAAGCTCAACAACCATTCCAAACTCCCCTTGTTTGCATTTCTAGTAATCCTGCCAAATCGGTCCATGATTTTCCACCAACGTCAGTTGTCTTGCCCCATTATTGGTCTGTATCGTTCTTGGCAAGGTCCCGGTTTACTTTAATTCATTTAAGCTCGAACGCTGTATGGTTACATAAAGGCTCAATTGATCCATTAAGGAATCGTTTATGGATAGTTCGCAGGTTGAATTCTCAGTAAACCTTATGCACAATTTCTAATTGGTTTGTTATGGTCAGAACTATGACTTCGGCTCCTTACCCATCTAAAGAAGCAAAAACTTCACGTTTTTTTGAAATGCCGTATAAGCGACTGATTGACGAGTGAAAACCGCACTTGAAGAGACAAATATTTCATTGAAATTTTGCATCTTGCTCCTTTGATTTGAGGGTGGTTTCCTCCAATTTACGGACAAATTATGCAAATATTTTAAGACACGTCTTCGAAGCAAGTCAATATGTTAATCTCTAGTGCCAGAAAAGCACTGGCATTCGGTGTAATTGAGGTCAGAAAAGCTGAACGGCAAACAAAGTGCAAACGTTTGTTGATTCTGCGTCCAGTTAGCCCCCAAAATTTGATGAGATCGTGTTTAACCCTCCAACAAGTCCAGCAATTATTTTCCCTGTAAGTTAGACGTCTTTTGGGGTTTTAGGGAGCCAACATTTCAGTTTTCTCCGCAGTTTAAAGGTTTCTATTCCTCTGGTTAATACGCATTTAGCTCATCTCAGCGAAGTCGTTATTGAATTGTGTTACTGTACCAGTTGTTCAGAAACTGATGAGCGAGTGACGAATCGAAATGTCTATAGTCTGACCCACCGGCATAGTCGTGCGCTTTCTTCCGCGAATGCAAAATCTAGTTATCTGAAAGGATGCTCATGTAACATTTGTGTTCAACAGTAACCAGGCGTATCCTGACACCACGAAGACTAGCGCCAATTTTAAGTGGTTCTTTACAGTTATTGGTCAAACACCTTTCGAAACAAACACCCTTTATATCACTAAGAAAAGACAACTCGTTGTGTCGGCATAGTCAAAATCTCCCTTTTTTTTCAAAACTCTTCTCCCAGCCGACACTCTGAGGTCCATCGGCTTCGGAGTCACAGGCTTAGATGAGGACATGTGCATGTTATACTTCGTTGCTTAGCTAAATTTCAAATCAGCTTCTTTACCGGAACTCGTTAAATTTTCGGTTCTAGAACATCAGGTATGTTCATATTTATTTTTCTTTGTCTTCTTCAGTTACCTGGCTGAACCCATCACAGAGCCTTCGGCAACAAGGTATTGGTGAGAAGGAGATTCTTCTCCTGCGACGGCGTTACTTCTTCTCTGACATGAATGTTGACGCTCGCGATCCCGTTCAGCTGAACCTCCTTTACGTCCAGGTGGGTGTTAGTGTATATTCAACCTCGCAGTTGCATCCCACTCTTAAATTTAACTCGGAAAACAGTAATCACCACGATTACTGCCTGACCGAGCGAGCGAACGGATGGTGACTGTTTTGTCCCTCTAACCTCAACTAGGTTTCGTCCTTATTACGCGCACGGACTACGAGTTATTTCTCGATCCTCCAACTGTTAGGAAGGCAAATTTAGCCCTGGGATCCAGGTGTGCTTGCTTGACTTATCGAAACGTTCATTGGCACAATTAAGGTCTGCCTTCCACCGGCCCTCCCCACAATTCCTTCCCACCGTCTGGAATTCGCCTGGTTCGCCAGCGGTCTACCGAGCGGTTGTGTGCCTTTAAAACCAGCTAACCGTTGATACTATCTGCACACTGACTTTCTTCCGACGGCAGTGCTGCCGACGCTGGTTTTATTTGAAATCTCAGTTCGTAGGAGGAGGAGGAGGGGTGAATGCTAATTTGGCAGCTTTATGTGTGCGCGTGTAGCTTGCTGCTAACCAGGCATGCCGACGTATGTAGAAAAAAACAGTGGCCGTAGCTGTGCCGCCTCCGTTTTGGCCTATTGGTCAGCAGACCCGTCTGATAGGTAGTTTCGCCGTGTAGTGACTGACGAAGTCTGCACTCAGGCCGGATATATGCCGCAGTTGGCCTACTGCTTGCTGAATCGCACCCTTCTGTTGGGCGGTGGGCTGATTTCAAAATAATGCATTTCTAGGTGGCTGTGATTTTTGTCCCTTCAGAAGCACTCCTTATTTTCTGCCCACATTTCCACCTCCTCCTTCCCATTATCTTCGGATGCCTCCCGTTGGCGTGATTTTCTTCTTCTGCAAGACGCTTCTAAATCGTATTGAGTGTTTACTCAGGTGCGAACTGGTGTTGCTGGGCATTCTAAAGCAAAACGGAGCTTGTTTAACATCAAGATAACCGAAAGATCAGAGCCAGTACTGTTTTATCTGTACAGGGGTTTCAAGTACAGCGTTCTTGTTCCGAAAAAAAAGGATTTCAAAATGTGTGTCTGTAGCTATCTGGTGGACCCTAGAGTGATAGCTTAGGAAATCCTGCTTGGGCAGCGAGTTTACTATACCAGAATTAGTGGATTTCATGTTTCTGTAGGCTGGACGGGTAAATCGACTCAAGTGTGATTAAAGTCACGGCTACCGACGGGGACCTCACAGCTCAGTTGGCTGTAATAAAGCCTTCTCCTTGCTGATGTGGGTTCTAATCCCACCGAGGCCGCCGAATTTTTCACATATATGT